AAGAGAGGCCAGGGGACTCCTGGGGCACCAAATATTGCATGCCTGACTATGGCACCAGAAGTCATTGTGACCTTTTCCCAACAATGACTTCATTTTATAGCCTGCCACCTGCTGCCACTCTTGTCACTGTCTGGCCACCTCAGACCCCACATGCGTCACAGCTGGCTGAGTGCACTCATAGTCCAGCAAACTGACCATGCACGTCTGCTCCCAGCTTGGTGGTCACCCCACAGCTGCCCACTCACCACACCGGGCCAACTTCTGGCTGCACACTCCGAACTGGTGATCGATCAGGGGCATGGGATTTTATTTAACGCTGTGAAGACAGCCACGGTCACACTGTGGCAGCTCTGTAGCCTGCCTTTCACAGTTTAGAGGCCTCTGTCCACTTGCTGTCCTGTTTAATTCTTGCAACACCTTTGGAAGGCAAATGATGAGGCCAGGAGATCGACTGGGCCCATTTTACTGATGAGGAGACTGAGGCCCAGAGGAGGTAAGTGACTTGCTCAGGATGACAGAGCCCAGAAGTAGCAAAATTGAAACTTGAAGCCTGGACATGGAGCTCTTGAGGGAGGATGAACCAAAAGCCAAATCTTCTGGAGTAGAGGCTCTCTTAGGAATTCCTTTCAGGGTGGACCGGACTAAGTCTGTTCACTGAGAGTATGTTGAGGTGAGATGTTGGCTTATAGGGGGAGCGTCTGGTTCCTGGGCTGGATGAGACCCTCAACTCTTAAAACCATTGTCCTCTCCTCTCCCCTCACACCCCAGGTACAGATGAGAAGATTGAGGCACAGAGAGGGACCATGACTTGTCCAGGGTCACACTGAGCTAGAGACGGAGCTGGAGTCTGACCCTGTTTTTGTTTTTTGTTTTTTTTCTCCTTCTTCTTTCTTCTTTCTTCCTTCTTCCTTCTTTCCTCCTCCTCCTCCTCCAGCCTCCTCTCCCCTCCTTCCCCCTCCTCCTTCTCCTTCTCCTCCTTCTCCCTCCTTCCCCTCCTCCTCCCTCCTTCCCCTCTTCCTCCCTCCTTCCCCTCCCTCTTCCTCCTCCCTTCTCCTCCTCCCTCCTTCTTTCTTTTTCTTCTCTCTTTTTTTTTTGAGACAGGGTCTCGCTCTGTTGCCCAGGCTGGAGTGCAGTAGCACAATCATGGTTCACTGCAGCCTCAACCTCCCAAAGCGCAAGTGATTCTCCTGCTTCAGCCTCCAGAGTAGCTGGGATAATAGGCGCGCACCACCACACCCAACTAATGTTTTAAATTTTTTTTGTCGAGACGAGGTCTCACTGTGTTAACTAGGCTAGTGTCGATCTGCCCACCTCGGCCTCCTAAAGTGTTAGGATTACAGGTGTGAGCACTGCACCTGGCCTGGTTTCCCGTATGCTTTTTTTTTTTTTTTTGAGACAGAGTCTTGCTCTGTTGTCCAGGCTGGAGTGTAGTGGTGTAATCTTGGCTCACTGCAACCTCCACCTTCTGGGTTCAAACGATTCTCGTGCCTCAACCTCCCTAGTAGCTGGAACTATAGGCATGTGCCACCACGCCCGGCTAATTTTTTTATTTTTAGTAGAGACGGGGTTTCACCATGTTGGTCAGGCTGGTGGGATTACAGGCGTGAGCCGCTGTGCCTGGCCCCCCTTCTTCTGGATGTGGCCCTCCTCCTTTTCTGCCATGAGGATACTGGGCTAAATTGACGGGAGTCAGTGTCAGAACTGCGGGACAGACAGCATGTTGTGATGCAGCACGTCCACCCACAAGTTCTTAGAGTGGATTCCCCTGGGGGCGGTGTCCTTGGCCTTACTGCCCACTGCTTCTTCCTCAGCCCTGTTTGTTTTATATCTGCCCAGCCTCTCCTGTTTTCATAGACAAGTCTGGGGAGGACCCCTGCTTCGGCTTCTCTGGGAATCTGAAAGGCATCCAGGAGTGAGGGAGCAGGACTTCCCACCCCTGTGACCTGTGGCTCCCAATGTGTCCCCCTCTGGGCTGACCCATGTCTTGGGCTCCAGGTGGATCAGCTCAAGCTCAAGGTGAGTCGGCTGGAGGAAGAGTGTGCACTGCTGCGAAGGGCCAGAGGATCGCCTCCTGGGGCAGAAGAGAAGGAGAAGGAGAAGGAGAAGGAGCCGGACAACATGGACCTCGTCTCTGAGCTGCGTGCTGAGAACCAGCGGCTGATGGCATCGCTGCGGGAGCTGCAGGAGGGCCTGCAGCAGGTACCAGGACCAGGGGTCGTGGGCACAGGCTGGGGGGTGGTCAGGAGGGCCTGCAGCAGGTACTGTGGCTTGTGGGTGCAGGCTGTGGGGTTGGGGGTTGAGAGGACCTGCAGCGGGTACCAGGGCCAGGGCTTGTGGACACAGGCTGGGTGGGGGGTGGTTGGGAGGGCCTGCAGCAGGTACCAGGGCTGGGGCCCATGGGCGTGGGGATTGGGGGGGTGGTCAGGAGGGCCTGTAGCAGGTACTACGGCCAGGGCTCGTGGGCACAGGCTGCGGGATGGGGGGTCAGGAGGGCCTGCAGCAGGTACCAGGGCTGAGGCTTGTGGGCACAGGCTGGGGGGGCGGTCAGGAGGACCTGCAACAGCTATCACGGCTGGGGTTCATGGACATGGAGTGGGGGTAGGGGTTAGACCCGGAAAACAGGCCCTCTTGCTGCTTGCTCATCCTCCCAAGTCCTGGAAAGCTGAGGATTTCAGAACCAGGGATCTGAGATCTGGATGGAGTCCCAGCAGCCTCTTGCCTGAAGCTCTGAGCTGAGGGCCCTTAGCACGTGGTTGTCCCTGGTTGTCTGGTCTAAGGTGTGTGAGCAGCCTGCAGAAGGCCCCCGAACTCCCTAAAACTGTCCACCTGATTTTGAGTGTGAGCGTTTTTCTGGGGAAAGGGCCCCAGCTTTCATTTGATTTGTAGAGAGTGTGGTCTGGTGGTCCCAGGGCTTGCTTAGTGTCCTGTGGCAGGTCAGTGGCAGGTCAGCGGCTGCATGGGCCTGCCTCCGGGCCATTGTTCCACACAGGAAGTGGGGGATGGGAACCAGTGTATTTCATGAGGTTGGGGCACTTGGCTGGAGTGTAGGTATCGGGGCAAGATCTTGGGCCCAGGGTCTACCTGTGTGGGCCAGGCTCAGCCCCTTGAAGACCCCTAGTCATGGGGGTGGGAATAGGCCTTGGAAATGGCCACCGTCTCCTGCCCCGGGTGGTGGGTGAGGGCCAGAGCACAAGTGTGTGCCTGGTGCTTGTTTAGGAATAAGATCCTGGCTGAACTTGTCCAGTCACACCCTTATCCACTTAGCTTATTAGCCAGATGCTCCCTGGAGGGTAGCTAGGGCTGGTGGGGCCACGCCCACTTTGCCGAGGGGGAAACAGAGATCCAGAGAGGGTCCAGTCCCCAGGCCAGCATGGCAGAGCTGGTCAGGTGGGTTTGGAGGGCTGACAGCCGTGTGTCCCCTTCCTTCCCATGCCCAGGGTGGGCCCCGAGCCAGACCCTGAGGTGGCCCTGCCCTGTGATCCCCAGGAGGCAAGCCGGCCAGGGGCCCCAGGCTCCGAGCGCATCCTGCTGGACATCCTAGAGCATGACTGGCGGGAAGCGCAGGACAGCAGGCAGGAGCTGTGCCAGAAGCTGCACGCCGTGCAGGGGGAGCTGCAGTGGGCCGAGGAGCTGCGCGACCAGGTGGGGCCCTGCCCATGCCCTGCCCCTGGTGGGAGAGGGTGTCAGCCAGGGCCAGTGTGCTCACACCTTCCCTGAGCCATCCGCTTGACGCAGGTGCCTTACTGAGAACTGCATTCGTTCGTTCGTTCTCAGATGTTGACAGGGGCACCCTTCTAGGCGCTTGGGATGCTGCAGTGAGCAAAACAAAGGTGCCTTTTCCTTTAGGGGGAACTCCAGCAGGGGAGACCGGCAGTATGTGAGACACACAGTCCCGCGTCATATAGCCAAAGGCGATGAGCACCGTGGGAGACGCAGAGCTGGGGAAGGGGCCGGTTGCAGTTTCAGTGGGGAGGCCAAGGGTGACCAGATGGGTGAAATGATCATTCTTCTGGTTTTACAGATTAGGCAGTTGAGGGCCCGTGAGGTAAAGTCAGTGACTCAGACCACTCCACTGGGCAGGAGGGGACTTGTTATCGGGTCTCAGGCTCTTGGCTCTCACTGGCCCTCCTGGGCACCTGCTGGTTAACTTTCTGGTGGTCCCCAGCCCTGTGGTCTGACCCCGCCCCCGTGCCACCCTCAGTACCTGCAGGAGATGGAAGACCTGCGGCTCAAGCACCGCACACTGCAGAAGGACTGTGACCTGTACAAGCACCGCATGGCCACTGTCCTGGCCCAGCTGGAGGAGATTGAGAAGGAGCGAGACCAGGTGAGCCCCGCCTGCTGTGTACGAGGCCCTGGGCCAGTTGCTGCTTCTCATATGGGAGGAGATGAGAAGCAATGGAGGGGACTAGAAGGGTAGAAAGAGAGGTTAGCAGCTCCCTGGTGGGTTAGCACAGGGCACAAAGGCTGGGAGAACAGACAGGGGACCTGGAGCCCTTGAGATACCAACCTTACACCCTGGACCCACTGGCCTCGTCTGAGCTCCTATGGCAGTTACAGAAGCTGGTCCTGGTGTCTTCATTTCTGAATATCCGTTGTTCTGTCCATCTCAAAGACAAAGCCAGTACAGAGGAGGTGCTTACAAATAGAAGCCGATGAAGAAATTCTCAAAAGTTTTGGCTCTCCGTCCCTGGGCACTATGAGCCTTGTCTCCTGCCAAGGTTGTAGGGTGGGCTGAGGACCTCCGGCCAGTGTCACCAGGTTCCATGTGCAATGGGGGACGGCAGGAGGTTTTTGTTCTTGACCAAGTGTGAATCCCACTAGAGGAGTTGAAGTCTACATATTGTTATTATTATTATTACTTTTTGAGACTGAGTCTAGCTCCGTTGCCCAGGCTGGAGTGCAATAGTGCGATCTCAGCTCACTGCGGTCTTCAGCTCCCGGGTTCAAGTGATTCTCCTGCCTCAGCCTCCCAAGTAGCTGGTATTACAGGCGCGCCACCATGCCCAGCTAATTTTTGTATCTTTAGTAGAGACAGGGTCTCACCATATTCACCAGGCTGGTCTCGAACTCTTGGGCTCAAGTGATCCACCCACCTCAGCCTCCCAAAGCGCTGGGATTACAGGCGTGAGCCACCGTGCCCGGCCGAAGTCTACATATTAGAAATGCCCTCAGAATCCCCTGGCAAGCTTGAAAGTGCAAAATTGGGGCTTCATTCTCCAGATGTTCTCATTCAGGTGGTCTGGGGTGGGCCCCAGGAATCTGCATTTTATGGGGCTGCCCTCAGCTCTCTCTGAGGCATGGCTGTCAGGTCTGGACCATGGGTCTAGATCTAGAGCCCCTGGTCTCCCCTGTGGATGCAATGGGCTGGGTTTGACTCCCGGCTTCTCCACCAACTGGGATGCTGGGAGTGAAGCCCCTGGCACACAGCAGGTCTCGTGGAAAAGTTTTCATTTCTTGGTGAAATGGTGAGAGCCTGGATTCTGCAAATGGACTGCCCGATTTGAATCCCAGCTCTCTCTCTCCTGGCTTGGTTTCCCCAATCTGCAGAATGAGAATAATGATATTAATAGTATCTCACTAAGTCAGTTAGTATGAAGATATTTAAATGAGCTGATATTTAGCTCAGGGCCCGGCACACAGTGCTCAGTAAGTGATAGCTGCCGTTCTCCTTACTGTCCCCATTCTCCAAGTCATAGGCCAGGACAGCTGGGCCAGGGTGACTCCTTCAGCTGCTGCCTCCCCTCCCCCAACCCTAGGCCATCCAGAGCCGTGACCGGATCCAGTTGCAGTACTCACAGAGCCTCATCGAGAAGGACCAGTACCGCAAGCAGGTGCGGGGCCTGGAGGCAGAGCGGGATGAGCTGCTGACGACACTCACCAGCCTGGAGGGCACCAAGGCTCTGCTGGAGGTGCAGCTGCAGCGGGCCCAGGGTGGCACCTGCCTCAAGGTGAGCGGGTCAGGACTGTGGGAGTCCTGGTGGGAAGGCTGGGGTCCTGGCAGGAGCTCTTGGCCAGGGCTGGGAAGGTGCCGGCCCTAGTGGGAGACCTCAGCTGGGGGAGGAAGCGGTAAGAGCCCTCAGTTAGGAGTGGGAACTTGAACCCAGGCTGGGCTGGGTGTGGGCTGGTGAGCAGGCAGGGGGCATGTTGGTCTCTGAGTTTCTGGGGTTGCTTCTGGGACACTAAGAATAGTTTGGAGCTGGTCTTTGCATTTAGGTAGGGAAAGCTGGCTGCCCGAAGGCCTGTGTGCTTGTTAGAATGCAAAGCCTGGGCCTCAGAGACCGGCTAGTCAGGACTAACATGAGCCTAAGCATCCCTCAGAGAACAGCTGGTCTAATCGTCTCATTGCACAGGGCCCAGAGAGGGTCAGGGGCTTGCCCAAGGCCACACAGCCAGCTGGCACTGGAGCTGGAGTCCCAGACACATTGTAAATTGGATCGTGGTCCTCAGGCTGCTGCTGGGAGCTCTGCTTTTCCCTTTTTCTTTTTTGAGACGGAATCTTGCTGTGTCACCGAGGCTGGATCCCAGGTTAAAGCTATTCTCCTCCCTCAGCCTCCTTAGTAGCTGGGATTACAGGTGCCTGCCACAACGTCCAGCTAAGTTTTTTGTATTTTCAGTAGAGATGGGGGTTTCACCATGTTGGCCAGGCTGGTTTCAAACTCCTAACCTCAAAGGATCCTCCCGCCTCAGCCTTCCAAAATGCTGGGACCTGCTTTTTCTTTTTCTTTTTTTTCTTTTTTGAGACGGAGTCTTGCTCCGTCGCCCAGGCTGGAGTGCAGTGGTGTGATCTCAGCTCACTGTAGGCTCCTCCCCTCCCCGGGTTCATGCCATTCTTCTGCCTCAGCCTCCCAAGTAGCTGGGACTACAGGAACCCGCCACCTCGCCTGGCTAATTTTTTGTATTTTTAATAGAGATGAGGTTTCACCGTGTTAGCCAGGATGGTCTCGATCTCCTGACCTCGTGATCCGCCTGCCTCGGCCTCCCAAAGTGCTGAGATTACAGGCATGAGCCACCGCGCCTGGCCCCAGCCTGCTTTTTCTTATTTTGAGTTGCCTGACAGTGAGCTCTGCAGGATTGGTGTTTGAAGCATTGGGGCCCGGAGGAATATATAGGAAAAGTCAGCATTAATCCATGGCTTGTTTTTTTAAAACCCCCAGTGGCTTTTTTGCTGTCTGGTAAAGACGGAGTCCCTTTTCATAGCCAAGAGGCCCTGCGGATGGGATTCCTTTTGTCCTCTCGCCTGGTTCTGTGGGTTTCAGCCTTTTAACTGGAATGCATCACAGTCCTGCCTCAGGGCCTTTGCACATGCCATTGATCTGCCTGGACCATCCCAACTGGACCTACTTAGTGCCTGTATACCCTTGAGTTCTCAGTTCAAACCACTGTTTCTTTGGAGAGTACTTGGACTCCCAGGCTGGATGGGGTGTTTGTATGTTTTCCACACCCCAGGCACCTTCCTTTTGCTGTCGTCTTAGCTTGAGGCTATTTTGTTCACATGTCTCTTGGTTTACAGTTTGTCTCCCTGTCTAGGCTGTGAGCTCCCTGAGGACAGGGATCTGTCCCTGTGCTGGCACATGGCAGGTGCTCAGTAAAGGACTGACTGTCCTGGGCCTAGCACTGCTCACCTCCTTCCTCCCCTCTCCCTCTTCCAGGCCTGTGCCTCCTCCCATTCCCTGTGCTCCAATCTCAGCAGCACTTGGAGCCTGAGCGAGTTCCCCTCCCCTCTGGGAGGCCCAGAAGCACCTGGGGAGGCCGCTGTCATGGGGGGACCTGAACCTCACAACTCGGTAAGACAACTGCCCCATCCCAAATAAGCGGGGGACGCTGCTGTAGCATTATTACTAATGTAGAGAGTGCGTTCTGAAGGATCATTTCACAGGTGAGGACACTGAGGCACAGGGAGGCCAAGTACTTTACTGAAGCTCACCCAGAACCATTTCCTTGCCAGGCCTGGGTGCCAGGAGGCCTGGGAGCCACCCACACACTGTAATCTTGCAGACCCCATTCCTGTGTTCTGGGCCCTAGTTCTCATCTGTGGAATGGGCACAAACCAGGTGTGCTAAGGACTGGGGTGGTGCTGAGCAGTGGGGGTGACCCAGGCCCTGTCATGGCATTGCAGGAGGAAGCCACAGACAGTGAAAAGGAGATCAACCGGCTCTCCATCCTGCCTTTCCCCCCCAGTGCTGGCTCCATCCTCCGCCGGCAGCGTGAGGAGGACCCCGCACCCCCGAAGAGGTGAGATGGCTGGGGTTAGCAGTAGACACCCAGGGAGGTGGGGCTGCTGTCTCCTGAACAGCCACCTCCCAGAATCTGCAATGCCAAAGTCAGGTCCAGGCAGGCACTTCCCTTTATTGCCCTCAGATGGCTGGAGCTCTGGAAACCCAGGCCCTGTGAGTCACAGGGGCGACCAAGGTTAGGGTTAAGACAAGGCCGATGGGCAGAGCGAACTCAGTCCTAGCCAAGCATCCTGGCAGGAGAGTCACTGGGGGTCAAGCCTCAAAGATCCTATACCCAAGGAGAAGCTTGATGGTTCAGGACTAGGGGGCGTGGAGAATGTTTCAAGGTGTCAGGGACCTCGAGCAAGAAAGCCAGGCCTCAGGTTTGGGCATCAGCAGCAAATAGGGACCAGAAAATAGGGACCAAGGCGTACCCTCTGGTAGCAAGACCAAGGGCGGGAGATAGCCTGCCTCCTGGGGCGCGATCCCTGTCACTACTTTTCCCCTGTAAGTAGCCCTTGATTTATTCCTTTACTGGTGAGAGGCTGGGCCTGGGAGGCTGTGGTCAGTATGGCCTCGGTCTGTGTGAATCTGTCCCAAGAAGGCATCTGATGAGGAGGCCATGGTTTAATTTAGGAGGCGTACCTGGGAGCCACAAACCACAAAGGTGGCAAGTGAGGGTGAGGTGAGGGGTGAGAGATCAGGGGTGGCTTCCAGGAGGAGGTGGCATTGAAAGAGCTGGCTTTGAAGGGCATGCCAGGGCATTGTAGGTGGAACAACACTGGACAGAGGCCAGGACATTAACTTCTTGCCCTGTGAGTTTAGGGGAGCCAGGTGGCATGGATGCCCTGTACCTGGGACCCCGCCTTGAGTCCAGCCTGCATTTGCTTGGGGGCTGTGAGACCTTTATCTGGTGTGGGGGCAGGAGGAGGGAACAGGGCAGGGTGCCCACCATGCCTCACCTCCTGCCCTCTCCCTGCCCCCCCCTCCCTGCCCTCTCTCTGCCCAGATCCTTCAGCAGCATGTCAGACATCACAGGTAACAGCCCTTGGGTTCCATGGGGAGGGCTCCTCTGAGGAGGGGGTAGGTGACTTTGCAGTCCACCTGAAGCCTGCCACCTGCGCTACCCTTGGCGTGCATCCCCTTCCCTGAAGCCCCACTGTGGCCCCTGCCAGGCAGAAAGGTTGTGCTTGGGAGGCCCCTGGGGGCTTTGGTTCTGGCCTCTCACCCTGAGCCCAGTCCTGGACCTCACTCTTGTCCCTGGCTGTGATGTACGAGGCTCTTCAGTTCTGGGCCACCTTTCACCCTCTTCCAGGAAACTGTGGGGTCAGCCTGGTGGGCCCTGACCTGTCTCTGAGACCAGTGGGTCTGATGTGTTCCTGGGACCTCCAACCTGCCAAGGCCCCTCAGGTCCTGGGCTGGAGGGGGTCAGCCCTGGTCATGGACCCCGGCCATCCCTGTTTCCCAGTCGCAGACCCCTGAACGTTGTTCTTTTTCCCCAGGGAGTGTGACACTTAAGCCCTGGTCCCCTGGCCTCTCTTCATCCTCGTCCTCCGACAGCGTGTGGCCTTTGGGAAAGCCGGAAGGCCTCCTGGCTCGGGGCTGTGGCCTGGACCTCCTCAACAGGTACTGTAGCTGCCTGTGGTGGGTGGAGCTGGGGTGATTGCTTGAGAGGGGAACAGGAGTGAGGTGGGAGGAGCAACTGCCTCACCCCTGTTTTATGCAACTGTCTGAAGATTAAGGTCTGTAGACACTGGCAGCCCTTAGATTCAAATCCTGCTGCCGCTCTTGATGGTCCCTGTAACTTGGGTGGTCCCTTCACCTCTGTGGGCCTCCATTTGCTGAGTAGCTAAAGGGAGATAATGACCCGTTTTGCATGGAGGTCTTTTGAGGCCTCTGCTCACAGAAGCAAAGCACCCAGCTCTGCCAGGCACATAGCAGGTGCTTAGTGATAGTTGTCACTACAAGCTATCCTTGTCCCAGTGTCCTGCCTGTCAGTCCCTTGGCTCTGAGTCCCTGGGACTGAGCCACCCAGCAAAGTTTCATGCTGTGGGTGGGCTTGGGTCTCCTCAGGAGCCCCTGTGACTGGGCCAGCCACAGGCCCGTAACAGGAGTCACAAAGCCCATTAGCACAGAGTGCACTGTAGGCGACGTGCTGTCGGTGTGGCCGCTGCGTGGCCGCTGTTCACACTTGCCAGCGTATCTAAGGAGGGGTGAGGCACAGCGGGGGCTGCACTGCCATTGTGGTCTTGGAACTCAGCTGTGAGCAGAGGGCAGGTAGGGAGAGCATCCGGTGACTGTGGAGGAGGAGTGAGGGGGAAGGGCGAAAATCAAGGCTTCCTGAGTCAGGCCGGGAAAGTGTGGACTTTGGCTTGTACACTCTGGGAAATGTGGGAGGGTTTAGTTATTAACTGCAAGGCCAGCTGCTGGCCGTTTTACAGCATGCTGTTTGTCCTGGGAGTAGGCATAATTACGATGATCTCTGTTCCATAGAGGAGGTAACTGGGGCTCAGAGAGGTTAAGCAACTCGCCCAGGGTCCCACAGTTGGGAAGTACCAGGTCTGGGTTCGTAGTGACCTGATCAGATTTGGGTTTTGGAAAGGGCGTAGGAAACGTGAATTGTCAGCGCTGGAATGTGGGGGTGTTGGCGGCAGAGGGACGGGTCACGCAGCAGATCAGTGCAGCATTGGACCGGGGCCTCTGGCCTCCAGAGCGGCTTTGTCAGGCCAGTGTCCAGGCCCTGCCCCCACCTGGCCCCCGGCAGTGGGCCCAGCGAAACATTGTTTTTGCCTGTGCAGGACGTGCTTCTCGGGGAAGGGGTGGAGGTGCCTCCCTTCCTGCTCGCCTCGGCCCTTCCTCCCTTCCTCCAGTTTGGGCTGCAGCAGGGGTCCTGGCTGCTGTCCAGGGGGCGCCAGCATGCAGCCAGGGGGCAGGAGCCTCTGTCCCAGTCCCGCCCAGGCCCCACGGTCACATGGGGCCACTTCTGCTGCCCATGCTGTTCCTGGGGAGGAGAGAGGATCCTGGGAAAGAACACAGGCTGGGGAGGGCGCAGAGGTGGACCGAGAGAGAGAGAGAGAGAGAGAGAGAGAGAGAGCGCGAGAGAGAATGAGAGAGAGAGAGCCACCGCGCCCGGTCAAGGCTGGAATTTTAACCTGGTTACACAGACCAGGACACTGAAGTGCAGAGACAGAAATTGGTCCCAAGGGACGTGCGCGGTGGCTCACGCCTGTAATCCCAGCACTTTGGGAGGCTGAGGCAGGCGGATCACGAGGTCAGGAGATCGAGACCATCCTGGCTAACACGGTGAAACCCTGTCTCTACTAAAAAGACAAAAAATTAGCCGGGCGTGGTGGTGGGCACCTGTAGTCCCAGCTCCTCGGGAGGCTGAGGCAGGAGAATGGCGCGAACCCGGGAGGCGGAGCTTGCAGTGAGCCGAGATTGTGCCACTGCACTCCAGCCTGGGCGACAGAGCAAGACTCCGTCAAAAAAAAAAAAAAGAAATTGGTCCCAAGTCATAGGCCCCTCAGAGCTGTTTGGGGACTCCGACATGCCTTCCCCCTGTCTCAGCTGCTGGAGATCTCACATCTGTGTTGTGTGCCCACTGTGTGCTGGGCACCATGTTAGGCATTTTCTCTCCTCTTTCCCATTTCCTGTCCATCTCTTGCCCTCAGCCTCTGCCCTGTCTTTCCCAGCTCCTGGAGCCTGAGTGCCAGGAGGGGATGGTGGATAGTGAGGGGCTGGGGCAGGCAGGGGGATGGGCTGACAGATAGCCAGGTGGGGGACAGCAAGGGAGAGCTCATGGGGCAAGTGAGGTGCTGGGTGAGAGGGGCAGGGCATGGAGAGCACTGGAGGGTTTCGGGGTGTCGTCTCCCCAGCATAGCCCCGCCACTGTCCCAGCTTGCTCACATGGCCCCAGGGGATCTCTGGCACTTTCTGTCTTTGCAAAGAGAAGGTTCCCGGCCGGGCGCGGTGGCTCAAGCCTGTAATCCCAGCACTTTGGGAGGCCGAGACGGGCGGATCACGAGGTCAGGAGATCGAGACCATCCTG